TATATTTTTTTTTTTTGTGTATATATATACAACTATATGTATTGGGCTTGTTCCAAAATGAAATCGCTTTGTATATATCTTTTGGTTTTGATGCACAGTCGCTAATTAACCCAACAGTGAGTGCCAAAAGTCAGCAACAGGTGAGCAGCAGGTAAGTTGGCTCACTCTCTTGCTCTATCGCGTGATCACTCGCTCACTCTCCCGCTCTCTCTCTCTCTCTCTCGCGATGAGCCGTCAGCTGTTTGGCCGGCTGGCTTGAGTCGAGCTGAGCTCAGCCGCTTCGGCCGCTGCTTCAGTTCTGCTGTAAGCCGCCTTCAGGTTGCACGCGTCGCTTTGCGTTTTGTCGCGTGTGTTTCGCCGCGAATTTACAGTTACGGTTATAGCTAACAAACTCGTGCCGTGTGCGCTTGAATGCCAATTTTAATAGCCACTGAGCCACAACAACAACCGTTAACGGCAACTAGCGTTTAATTTAAAAACGTTTTCAAACTGAGAAGCACAAAAAAAAAAAAACCCGCAAAAGTAACTGAAATAGAAACATATATAAAACGCAAATCGTTTACTTTCGTTTTCCCAACTTTCATTTTTGTTTTGTCGCACTCGCACGAGTTTTCATTGAAAAAAGTGTCACTGTCGGAGGCTGCGCTGTATTACACAAAAGCTGCCATTAGAAGGTGATAACAAATCGGGAGTTCAATACGACAAGTTATTACAAATAATACAAAAACAAAAAAAAAAAAAAAACTATAAAAAAAAGCAACAACGACAACAACAAACACAAACATTCGATATGGCGCTCATGGACACCGCTTGGCGCTGCCGCCTGATGATATTTGGAGTCGCATCGCTGCTGCTGGTCGGCGATCTCTTTGGCTACGGCGGTTACAGTGTGCGCGGCGTTAAATCGGATCATCCGGATGAGGTGGGCGTGCAGGGTGGGGGTCCCCCAACCGGACCCGCTCCAGCTGCCAAGTTTCAGCAGAAGAATGCCGAAATCGACATAGGCGAAGGTGAGTGACTTTATGCCATATTCCACCCCACGTATTCCATTCCGTATGCATTTCAGTTTTGTAATCGAATTTGGGTTTCGTTTTTTACGCAAATTTAAGCTTGACTTTTGTTTAACCGTTTTTTTCTTCATATTTTTTGTTTTTGGCATTAACAACGCAAATTTTTACACACTTGGCACATTGCAACACATCTGTCTGTTTCGCTCGCACTTTAATTTTTATGGGTTGCTTCATGAATCGAGCTCTCTGTGTTGTCTGTATATTTCGTTATTTTTTCATATTTTTTAAGTCGCGCTTTATTTGTTTGTATCAAGGTCAGTTTCGATTCATAAATGGAAGCTTCATGCTTTTCGATTTGTAATGTAAAAAGCTGGCAACACGTGTAAGCAAATAATTGAATTAAAGCTTTGTCAGTTAACCGGAATGGGCTGCCCTCTTATATACAAGGCGCTATAATACAATTTAAATAATGTTAAATGTTAATTCATTTTCGAAAATTGCCAGTTAATAATTTTTAAATTGGCCAGCATGAGAATACAAAATATATTTTTATGGATACATATAAATAATAATTTTAAAATTTAATTTTTAGCAATTTCCTATTTTGATATAATTTTGATAATCAACTAAAACTGATCTTAAAACTATAAATGCTTTAAAATATCATTTTGTACAGTTTGTAAAATTAAGGTATAATTTTTCAGGAAGGAGGCAAGGTATATTTTATATTCTAGCGCAGTTTGAACTGAGTATTGTTTAGCCTTGTCTTCTATAAGCTGTTCTTACATAAGACTTAGAAACTCTTTCTCGCATTATACACAATTAACTTTATAATTCTAGGCAGGGCTGTATAGACTACTTAGGTTTTATAACTTGGCTTTGTACCCATGTTGCGTCGCTTTTCAGCTTGAACTGTCTAGACTATTTCATAGACACTTAAATGTTGACATTTAAGAGGCCATTTAAGTGTTGGCTGGCCACAAAAAAAAAAAAAAAAAAAAAAAAAAAAATCTTTGCCCCGCATTTTAAGCAGCTAATTAAAAAGTTTCCACACGAGTTTTTGGTTTTTTCTATATGTCTCGCATGACATGCTATTTGTTTGCTCATTTTTGTGCGTAGGCATTATCTAAGGAACTTTTTTCGAATCAGACTTTGATAACAATAAAAAAGTCTAGTTTTCGGCAACATGCAGTTCTAGACTGAATTCACTAGAGACTAGTTTAATAAAAAATATATGAAATGTATTCCTATTTTTAGCTAATATCAGTTGACAATCCTAAATCTAGTTTTAAACAGCATTGATATTTTTATTTATATTTTAACACCGATATCAACTCCAGTTTGATCTAATATACAAGCAGCTCACTCAGTCTATTTGCTTATTTAAATTGATTTATTTTTCGTTCTTATTTCACGGCTTCCCCTGCAGCCCGAGCAATAGATATCGAAGGGAGCTCGCGGTAGACGGCGTTCCATATTATTTACATATTATTTAACGCCTTGCCGGACATGGTCTACCCATGCCCATGCCGCACAAATGTTTGAAGCTTTCGAAGCGTGTTTGTAACCACTTTCCAATGCCCAGCGATTTGCATAATTTTATAGCGTCATGGTAGGCAAGTGACATAAGACTCGTAAATGATTTCTGTTTTGCTATTTTTTTCCTCAACATGCGGGTACGATTATGCAATGCTTCGACTCTCGATAGACATGCGAGTAGAGCTCAATAAATAAAAATTTAATTAAATATAAACGAAAGTCAAAGTGCAGCTTGAGGCAGGTTTTTTTTTTATGGGAGCTGAAGAATCTATTGAAATTTGAGGTTAAAAAGCTTTAGAGGTAATATTTTGAGAGTAGCTCATGCTAATGGGAATGTTATCTGCAAAGCAAGTGCACTGGTGCAAAGAGAGTGTTATGGCAATGGGTTAAGCGCTTGTCAAACTTCATGTTAGCATTTAACATTTAACAGCTGGCAAGTGGTAAAATTGAATATATGAATGTGGCAGTTGCTTTTATTAATATTCAATACGCTGCCTGTTAAGTGAATGTTAATTGAGGTGAATTATAGTTTTGGCCATTATTATAACTTCATTATTGACTGTTCCTGTCAAATCTAATGTTAACATTTACAATCTTAGCTCAAGATTGTGTAGAATGTTATGTTAATAATGCGCATGCAGTATGTTAATCGAATGTTAACAAGAGACTTTGACTTTTCAGCGAGGTCTTTTCCGGCCATTAATGATGTTATCTTTAATCAGATGTTAATTTGTTACTTGATTGATGTTATTTTATGTTCCTGTCAAAATCAAAATAAAAGTTTAATGGCAAATGTGTTAAGTGAATGTTAGCTAGATAACAGCTGAGCTCAGCTCTGATCAGCCCTAACCTCTCGTTTCGCCCCATCAACAAAGCACCGGTCCAGTGTCCACCTAGGAGCTGTAAAATCTAACCAGAATAGCATAGTTCATTAACATGAGATCATCTGCGATCGGCTCAGAGGTCTCTCTCTCTCTCTCTCTCGTCTCGGCTGATTTCATGTTTGTATGCTTGGGTCTCTTTTGGTTTTTGCTTGCGTCGAGGTGAAAGTGGAAAAATGCCAAGCAAATAAACTTCACGTAATAAAATCAACGAACAGCGACAAGTTTTCATTTGCTTCCCAGTCCCCGTTTGCATGTGCTGGAAATCTGTGTGGGAAACTGCACTGAAACTTTCCTAACCACCATGGGGAATCTCTCACAATATATTTGAATTGCCCTCATCTAGCTGAGTTTGAGATTCCAATGCCGTATGGTCTAGACACAAGTGCAGAGCAGCGCTGCTCTGATTATGCCAAGTTAGCAGGAAGTTAGCGGAACAGAATGCTTGAGCACAAAAACCTCAGAGAACTGGACTGGACCTGCGCTATTTTCATGCAGATTGAACTGATTTAAGCGTGAAGCATTTGAGCCAATTGGAAATGCCGGCCGAAAACCAGTCGCGCTAAGTATTACCCGCTCTATGCTGGCAAACTAGTTCTACGGAAATCGAGAGTGCCCTGAAATGATTTCTCGGCTATTGCATAAAATCGGTGCTAATAGCTTGCAAAATGGAATTGTAGCTAACTGGGGTCATTACGTTACAGGTTTCGTTCACTAAATCGTACGACAGTCAATCTGAATTTATTTTCTTTGGCATGTACTGCACGTTGTCTGATAAGTGCAGTGCGTGATGAACATGCAGAACTTGCAGTTATTTATCGAGGCCCAATCAAAGCAGACACACTGAGTTACGTGCAGTTAGACACAAAGTGAGCTCATTTCGGATATGATTTTGATAACAGTCTAAAGCCACTCGCCGAAAGAAAGATTCAGCATCGTATAGACTGCATTGCGATAATCGTCGTTGGCAATCAGGTTTGATTTGAGCCCCGCCTCACAAGCAGACTTGGCTAAAATATTCATTGGGCCATAAATTAAAAGCCACAAATTATTAGACGCCTCCCTGCGTGGCTTGCGTCACTTTTCACAGGCTTCGAGCCCAAAAACTCTTTTCCGCGTACAAAGTCCAGCTGGCTGCGGGTAGAGCAGCAGCAGCAGCAGGAGGAGGAGGAGGAGGGACAGCAGCAGTTTGGTTTCGCTGATTTGTGGTTAATTGCCAATAACTGCCCGTTGGTTTCAGCTTAAATTTTAATATTTATACAACGCCATAATTAATTAATCTAAACATCGACCAAATGACTAAGCAAATACTTGTCTCGGCGTTGAAATTCGTTTAGGAAAAAATCAAAGTTCAACGCACGTTTTGGCCTTGCAGGGGGCGAGTTCTCACTCGCCTGACCGCCTGTCACTGTCTATAGAAAAAAGCAAAAAATCAAAACAAAAACATAATCGCAACATTGAAACTCGATTCAAATATTTAATCAGCCGAACCGAAATTAAAAGTGAAAAAGGTTTATTTATAAGTTAAGTTAAGATTGTTGTTTCTAGTTGCTGCCAGCACTTGCCATTTAAAAGCTAAATGTTTGCGTTGATGTTTAATTAAAGCCAAAGTTGCCACAAACAGCAGGTTCAACAATATAAATGCGCATTTTCTGTTAAGCATATTTCGTTTATTTGCGAGTTTTAATATACTCTCCCATATATTAAATATACACTGTGGGACATTAGCATAACGCCGCCAAGATGTTCTCTATTAATATTCAACATTTTTTCCAACGAATTTTCGTTTATTTTTGCAAAAATTAAAGACAACTGGGTTTTTGATTATTTTATAAAATTGAATAAAATAAATGCCTAAAAAATAGAAAATAAATTAAATTGATTATCACAATAATTTAATATTTTGCAATATATATTTTTTACGTATTTTAGTATTTATTTTTTATGAGCTAACTTTTGAAGCAATGTAAAAGAAACATATATATTAAAGCAAAAGTTTAAACAAATATTTAAAAAAGTTGATTAAAACAAAAAAGAAGTTTAATCAAATTAAAACAACAATTTTGGCTTCAGGTTAATTTAATATTTTTAAATAATTTTTATTGCTATTTGTTTTCAAATTTGTTTTATTTATTTCTTATATTAGAGCAGACATTAGAATTTTTGAAATTACTTAGAATATATAAATCATTTTTAATTTGCGTAGCTAAGAAAAAAATTATAATTGCCTCAGTCGCTAATCAACTTTTACGCTGGTTTGATGATATAGAAATCTGATATACAAGTGCATATAGCTCTCCCTCTCTATCACTCTTTTCTGGTATATGATATGATAGATTACATATATATGCAGTATATTAATGATCCACATATATTTATATATATTGACGTATATATTTTATCCAATTTAATATATGGCTTCTCTACAATACCTTTAGAGTGCATTCATATTCGACTTGGCGCTTTTGAGAAGTTTCTTTTGTTTCGATTCCCAAAATATTTTTGAATTTCGCTGCTTTGGCCTTGACGTGTTTATTTTTGCGCAGTTGAAAGTTTGCTCTTTGTCAGAATATATAGCTAAAAAAAACAAAAAAGAAAAAAAAAAAAAAAAAAAAAAAAAAAAATACCCAAATTTGAGAAAAAAAAAACAACATAAAAGTGCAAATGCAAATATTAGATAAAAATCTTAAAATATTTTTAATTAAACGATTTGAGTAATTTGCAGAGCACGACTTTGATGAGTTTTCGGCTGCAGCTGCACTCAAGCCCGTGGCAACTGCGGCTATCACTGGAGCCAGCCTGAAGACCAAAACACAGCTGTCGGACACCATCAAGGAGTCGTGTCTGCCCAAGATGCTGTGCGAGCTGGCTGCCAAGCCGGAGTACCAGCTGAGCGAAAAGGAGCGCGAGCTGCTCAGATTGATAAGGTGAGTGTGAGACGTAATGAACTATATGTATAGTAAATATATAGAGTTCAACTGTAGCTTGTAGTTTGACCCTTTTAAGTGAGAGCAACTGAGAGTAAAAAAAAAATATATATATATATAAACACTTTTTTAACTGCCATTGATCTCTGCTCTGTCGGGTCGTTCAACGAACTAAAAGCTCAGCTTACAAAACACAAGCTGAAGATGTTTACAGTCGTATTGAGCACTTGGCCTTGTTTAGACAACAGCATGGGCAAGATTTTCCACTATTGGCTCGCATCGATCGGGCCTAACCTACCTCACATAGGCAATGCGACGCGCTGTAACCTCGCACTTGAGTCGAAGGTGAGCTGTTACCGGCTACACACAGAATCGTTTGTGTTCTAGTGAGCAGCTGTCTCCACACACACACACACACAAATACGACCCCGTGTGAAACCCTGAGCTGTATAGAAATACATATATGTGTATAGAAAAATTTAGTAAACGAATCTTCCGCATTTTGCTGTCGTTTCTTGCAGATCGCCGACTATGCCCTGGATGATGAATATGCCGCCGAGCAAATGGTATTTCGCTGCCCACATGGGTGAGCTGATGCGTCACTCTAGCGATAATCTGAGCGGTCCCATGGGCTGTGCCAATCTCTGGCCCAACTGCCCCATCAGCTCCAAGAAGCTGATGAAACTGAGCTATAAGGTGCGCGTTTAGTTGATGCCAGCCAATGTGATCATAGATTATTAAATTAAGCACTAGATGTAGTAGGCGTACGCACACACGCACACACACACATAAAGACGAATATCGCACACACACACACACCTACACATAAAGATGATGATGATTGTATACTGACGCTGAAGAGACTTACCTATTGTACCATAAATTTTTCGCTCTCCAAGGCCCTCGGCTGGCTGCCAAGCATTGACAAGTGCCTCCACAGTGCTGGAGCCTGTGACGGCATGACTGATGTGACAATTTGTAATTCGTATCGATTAGCTAGCTCTAAGTGCGCTAATTAGTCATTAAGCGTGCCTAGTCTATCTCAATTATATTTTAGTTAACTTAGCCTTAGTTCAATGCGCGTGTAATTGTAAATAAATGCATATTGTTATTTAATATGAATTCCCAAGTGACTTTTGCTTTTGCCATAACTAATGATGCGACCATTTATTCAAAGTATACATTCACAAAAAATATAAATAAATGTATATATATATAGAACTATAATAGAGCTACATTATCTTTTAGCCTAAACGCCCTTCGGCGTGCAAAATGTATTTATAATTGTTATTTCTTAAGTGCTAGGAAATGCTGTATTAGAGTTAATGGCAACTGTAATTGTAAATTGTAATATGTGAGTTTGGCGTGTCGCACTTCAATCAAATTTTGCAGTGTGACCAAAGCCCAATCACGATAAGCCAACACAGTGAGTTAACACTTTCGTTGCTCATTATGGGAGTTGTAACTGAACTGAAAGTGCTTGCAACTGATGATTTCCTCATCTCAGTAATTATAGCGTGTAGACTATAATATCTCAACATGATCAAGCTAGATTTCCAATCGAATTAACTAGTGTTCAATGTCTGAGAATGGAGTATGAGTAGCGGTATTTGGAGGCTATAGCTGACTGAGCTGATGAAATGTTGGCATGTTGGCTATAAAAGTCTAGTTAAATAAATAATACAGTAGAATCCGGTTAAACCGACGCTCAAAAGGATGATTCTGTAGGATATTAATAGATATAAAAATATAAAATTATAAAAAAAATAAAAA